ATGGAAAAAGTTGAGTCGTGAATAAGATTGAAAGCTTTGATATATGAAAGTAATCCTTATTATAAGCTTATCATTTTGATCTTTAATCTTTTACATTTTATTTTTACATTTAGTAAGTTATAAAAACAACTTAAGCTAGTAAAGAACTTTTTTTTTCTACTAATATTATATATATATTGGAAATATTATTAAAACATAAAAAATTTTAATTAAAAAAAATAATTATTAAAAGATAAAAATATTACAGATGCTAAAATCATGCAAATAATTTGTACATAGATGATAGAGTAAAGCTTCTAGCCATCAGTACAACATTTATTACCTTAAAAGATCATAAGGATAATTTTTCAACAATCCTCAGCGCCAATTAATAAAACTAGGAAAAGTAAAATTTTATTGATATCTATAGTAAAGTGAAAAATGCTACCTACGTATTCATAACACAAATAAAATGTTTTAAATCCATACCTGAAAAAACAATCTGTACTTTCATTCAATACGATATTAAGGATGATGATGATTGATGATAATGGTGATGATGATGATGGTTGATGATGGTGATTGATGATGATTGATAAAAATGGTGGTAATTGATGATGATGATGATGATAATAATGATGATGATGATGATGTTGATGATGATAGTCATGATGATGATGATGATGATGATGATGATGATGATGATAATGATGATGATGATGATGATCATGATGATGATCATGATGATGATTGATGATAATTGATGATGATAAATTTTTTTTTTTGTTGGACAATTGAATTTTAAGACTATAAGTTTAACCTATGAGTTAACTTCAGTCAAGTCAGGTTTATCCTGGTACTGGTAACATGTAACCCAGTACAATCTGCTTCATGTCCTGCTGCCTTGTAGGATACGTCTTTTTAGGCAAAGGCTAGGAGATGCAAACTCTGACATAAAACACCCCCTGCCTTAGGGCTCTTGGTTAAGTAAAGGCTAGAGATGGTGTCTCGATAAAAATGCTCATCTTGGGCAGATGTTAAATGCATCTAGCTGCTGTCTTGTAGAAGGCCTCCTAGGCAAAGATTTAAGGGGTAAACAGATTCTATCTGTTGACCAGCCTCGCACCCCTTCTTCATCTATTAGGCTGGCGAAGATGTATTTTTAATACATTGTTTCCAGTTTAGGATGTTAAACGCTGGATTTTCTTTACTCGATGCATGGGTTTTGCTTGTGTCTCTGTTTTTATGACTAGGCAACTCATTCTATTATCTCCAAATGAGGGTACAGCTCTAAAACTCAGTTTTATGGTTCTGACGCCGGCTGGTAGTCAGGTTTCCCAAACTCTGTGGTAGCTCTCAGAGAGGCTGATTCCATCAACAGCTAAAAATGTCATAGTACTAACAGTGCCATGTTGCGCATAGATGGTGTCCCTGTTTGTACTTTTGGTGTGCATTACTAAGGCCACATTGGATCCCTTTGTTACGGCTTAGGGTTTATTAATAGAAATGAGGCAATTGCTTGGGCTATAAAACGGTGTACTGAGTACTATCTATGTTTCGAGTCAAGTTCTTTAACAAATTTAAAAATGAATAAAGTAACAAAAACTATAAAACACAAAAAACCACAGTCATCACCAAGTTCGCTAACCTATCATTCACTAATATTTGTGGTCTTCGAAGTAACTTTTCTTCTGTTGAGTCTTATCTCTTGCAAAGTTCACCAGACCTACTTGCTCTTTGTGAAACTAATTTGAGTTCAGCTGTCTCATCTTGTGATCTTAGTGTTGATGATTATCTTCCTTTAATTCGTAAAGACTCCAATAGTCAAATACTTGGCCTAGGCATTTACATTCGTAAAAATTCGCCCATTTGTCGGGAAACTAGGTTTGAATCCACAGACTACTCTTTTATGTGCTTTCGTTTAGGACCACTTCACTCTATTACCTTTCTCTTTGTTCTATATCGCTCTCCCTCATCTCGAGACTGCACTCTTCTTTATGTTATTTCTGATCATATTGACCAAGCCCTCTCTCTTTATCCATCAGCCAATATTGTTGTTGTCGGTGACTTAAATGTTCATCACACTGAATGGCTTGGCTTTAGTGTCAGTGACTCTGCAGGCATTAAGGCCCATAACTTTTGCCTTTCTCAATCCCTAACTCAAATAGTCAACTTTCCAACTTGCTTTCCAGATAACCCGAATCATTTACCTTCTCTACTCGAATTATGTCTTGTTTCTGATACTAGTCAGTGCTCAGTTTCCCAACACTCACCCTTAGGTGTCTCTGATCATGGTTTGTTTCTCTAAAACTATTATCTCATTCTTCTTTATCATCAGAATCCCCCTATCATCGTTCATCTTACAACTACCTTAAAGCTGACTGGGACTCTTTCCGTGATTTTCTTCGTGATGGCCCCTGGGTAGAAATCTTTCGTCTTCCTATTGACAAATGTGCTTCTTACATAACTTCGTGGATTCAGGCTGGCATGGAATCCTTTATTCCCTCTCAACGATTCCAGGTCAAGCCTCACTCTCTCCATGGTTTCCTCACATTGTGCTGCTGCAATTGCCAATCGAAACCATTACTTTCGATTGGCATTCCATATCTATCAGCAAAACAATTCTCCAGAAAACAGACGTCTGTTTATTACTGCTAGGAACCATTATAAAAAGGTTTTGTCTAATGCCAAAGCCCACTATTCTCAGATCATGAAATCTCGTATTTCATCACAAAAATTAGGCTCTCGTGACTTCTGGAGAATCTTTAGTAGTATCAATAATAAGGGCAAGTTTGTAGTTCTACCTCTTTTGTATGGTTCAGACTTGGTCACCTCACCTAAAGACAAAGCTGAATTGTTTGCTAAGAACTTTTCATCAATATCATCTCTTGATTCCACTAGTTGCGTTCTAACTGATTTAGTTGTCAAACAGGTTGATCCATTGGTTAATATTTGTATCACTCCAGCTTCTGTATCTAAAGTGATTTCCTGCTTAGACTCTTCTACAGCTTGCGGCCCGGACAACATACCTGTTATAGTCTTGCAGAGATGTTCTCCGGAGCGTCCGTATAAATCTTAAATCCGACCTTGTATGGAATACTGTTGCCATATCTGGGGTGAATCTTCTAATGATGCCCTTTCTTTTTTAGACAAGGTGCAAAAATGCATTGTAAACATAGTTGGACCTGCTCTTGCAGCCAACCTTCATCATCTATCACATCGTTGTAATGTTGCTTCTCTATCTCTTTTCTACAAATACTATAATAAGCACTGCTCTAAAGAGCTAGCGTCTCTTGTGCCATCTACTAAAATTCATTCTCGTGTTACTCGACATTGAATTAAGTCTCATTCTTTTTCTGTTACTGTTCCTAAGTGCTCCAAAATCTCTTATTCGTTTAGTTTTTTTCGCTTCCTTCATCTTGCTTTCCCTGATTCATATAATTTGCAATCTTTTGCGTCATGCGTCTGTCAGTTGTTATCTTACTCTACAATCTTCATCTTTTCTTTTCCAGTAACTTCCAACACTAATTAGTGGTTACTTGCAGCCTTGTTGGAAGCAAAGATGTTAAAAAAGAAACAAAAAAACTGTTATTTAATTTATTGTTATTTAAACTAAAAAAAAGTATTTTAGTTATTTTAATACTAAATAACAATAGCTTATTAACTTGTTTTACAGGGTGACAACCATAAGGTGAAACACATTTTCGAACCACAATCATTTATTAACCCCGTACCATATGACTTTCCCCTTGTTTACAGTTCGTTTTGACATTAGTTTAGAAAAAGTTTTTAAAATTTGAGGAAGAAAAAATGGTGGAATGTATGAAAAATACAGATCTAAATCCTATCAGGGAGCTGATAATTTCATTACACAAAAAAAATTTAAGTCAAGCTGATATTTGGAGACGCCTAAATGATATAAAAGTCAGCAAATCATTGATTAGTCAAACAATTTCTCTTTACAAAACTACTGGGCAAACAATTCCAGCTAAAACTAGAAAAAGAAAACGCGTCAAGCGCACTCCAGCAATCATCAAAGTGGTAAGAGAACGTTTACGAAGAAATCCTGCTTGCTCAGGTCGGCAGCTAGCTAAAGAGCTGAACATGTCATATACTTCTATGCAAAAGGTTATAAAACAAGATTTAAGACTTAAGTGCTACCGTAAACAAAAAATTGCCAGCCTCACTGACAAAAACAAGGTGGAAAGAGTCAAGCGTTGCAAATCGCTATTTAAGCGGCACGGTGGTTCAGATATTGTTTTTTCGGATGAGAAAATGTTTACTTTGGAGCGCCCGTTGAACAGACAAAATGCTGTAAAGCTCTCTGATGTTCCTTTAAACGTTAGAACTGTCCCTCGTTATCAGAACGCTTCGGTGGTCATGGTATTCATGGTATCTCGAAAAAGGGGAAATTTCCTCTGAAATTTATCGATAGAGGGGTGAAAATCAACAAAGAATACTACTTACAGAATGTGATCAAAGATTTGATTGAACCTAAGGCTAAAGAAATGTATGGTGATGATCCATGGGTGTTCCAGCAAGATTCTGCCCCTGCACACAAAACTATTGTTGTTCAAGATTACTGCAAGCAAAATTTCCCAGATTTTATCGATACCAAAGAATGGCCTGCTTCAAGTCCTGACCTCAATCCCCTTGATTTCTTTGTCTGGGGATACATGCTACAAGAACTGGGGAAGCATAAATTAACAACTTTGGACCAATTCAAGGAACTTTTGATCGACATTTGGGACAAAATGCCACAAGAAACCGTGCGTGCCGCGTGTGAAAACTTTTTCAAGAGATGTCGAGCCTGCATAAAAGCAGAGGGCGACAGGTTCGAATTAAACCAATAAAACTTGTTAAATACACTTGTAGCTTTCTATTGATACCACTTTCGAATAAATATAACTCTTAAATTTGAAAATATAGCTTACTTTATGTGTTTCACCTTATGGTTGTCACCCTGTATATGTTTTTATAATATTAACTTAAATTTTAATATTAACTTATTGTTTTATTAGGAGCAAGTTGTCAAAAAGATTGTCTGTCCTGGAAAAATATCTTCTTTGGCTGTTTCACCTGATGGTCATTATTGTATTGTTGCATTGGTAGAAAAAATATATGTTTGGCAGGTAAGATTTATCGAAGACCAAATATTTCTGAATCATTAGAGCATACTGAAAACATTTTCATTTTTTTTATGCATAAATGTTATTAGATAAATCTTTAATATAATCATCATTATCATAAAGGCAATGCAATAGTTTGAATATAAAATACTTATATTGAAATTATTGTAATACCATTTTATAGTTTAAGTAAATATACTTTACATAATGTATAGAAATGAATACATACATTTATAAAGAATCCTATATTTTGTGTCTTTTTAGATTATTCTTTACAACTGACCTTTCATGGAAATTATATATACAATTCATTGTAAAGTCAGCATCTCCTGATTCCATTCTCTACCTCTATATAACTTTTATTTACTCTTGTATGAAATACTGTCATCATATTTGGGCTGGTTTTTTTATAATTTCATAATTTATTAAAATATAATCTAATGATGTTCTTTTCTCTTTTATACAAGATCTAAACATAGTTTAAACTACGTTTAGTTAGACTCTAGTTGCCAAGTTTGAGCTTCTGTCAAAAATTTTTGGTTTCATTTCTTTCTACTTTGTGCATCTTCTGCTGCATCAACTAAAATAAAATCTTGTATTATTTGTCATTCAGTAATGTCACACTTCTGTTCCTTCAAGTTCAGAAAGCTTTTATTTATACACAAATATTAGTGCTTTACAAAGTTATGTTTTGTTTGTGTGTGTATATATATATATATATATATATATATATATATATATATATATATATATATATATATATATATATATATATATATATATATATGTATATATATATATATATATATATATATATATATATATATATATATATATGTATATATATATATATATATATATATATATATATATATATATATATATATATATATATATATATATATATATATATATATATATATATATATATATATATATATATATATATATATATATATATATATATATATATATAGAGAGAGAGAGAGAGAGAGTGATTCTTACACTCATAAACTTAAGAAACACTCAACGCTTTTTATGCAACACTTTTTTCAAACACTTTTGTAACTTTTTGAGTGTTAAAAAAGGGTTAAAGTTAAAGAGTTCAAGAAAAATTTGTTTTGGGAATTTGGGGATTGAATTTGGGGATTAAATTTGGGGATTTAGGGAATAAAATATCTTGTAAGTTCAGGCTTGGTCGGGAAGCGGGAGCGATCGCTCTCGAATACTGACCACGGAAATTATATTTAGTTGCGTAAAACTGGCCAGGTTTTTTAGTCGTTTTGAGAACATTTAAGTTTATGTACGAAACAAAAAATTTTTGTTTTACGGACATACATGGAAACATAAAAAACTTGATGGTTCTCAAAACATCTTTGTGCGAAAGAATAAAAAGAATATTTGCAAACTCTCAAAACCCGCCAAATTAACGAACAAACTAATTCTATTGGTTCAAAAAATACGCTGTTTAAGCGAAATAAAGTTCTAGAGTATTCTGTTAAAATGTTTTAAAAAATTGTATTATACACGATTTGTTACGTTTTGAGATTTCTAGCATTGTTTTAAGAATATATATTATTTGTTTACGAAAATAAATGTTTTAAATATAATTGATTAAATTGTTAAAATTTTAAAAGTTTATTATAAATCATTGATTTTATTAGTATATTCTTATTTTTTATTTTAAAAGAGATTGTATTCTTTATGTAAATGTAATTTTGTGTATTTGTTTTTTATCGTAATGTATCTTTTAAAGCAATTTTTATGATTTAAACAAAGACTTACAAAAATAATTGCGTTTTCAATGAAGTTATAATCGTTAAAGTTAATAAAACTAATTATGTAACAAACATATAAGTAGTTTCTGGTTACTAAACACAAAAAACGCATACAAAGTAACTCGCGGATGAACAAGCATCGCGCCTGAGGTCACAACTAATATACTTTTTTCTGCTTTAAATACTAATTAAAATTAAAAAGCCCACTCACTAAACATCATCAGCGATATTGCGAAGCAGTTTCGCTTCTTGGTCATTAAGTATTTTTAACCTTTTTAGTTGATTTCTATCTTGATTATTTAATTCCTATAGTAATTCGATGATTTAATTTTTTCATTTGTTTATCTTACTAAGAAGAATCGCTTCAAATATGTTAAACTTTTCAAACTACTCGAAACATAAAATAGGTATTATAAAATTAACTTTTTTATTTATAAAAAAATTTAGCTTAAGTAAAACTAAAACTTGCAAACTTAGTTAAATAAAGAATATTTATTTCCCTTTTAAACAATCGTAAGTTGTTACTTTATATAAAAAACATCGCTTAATTTTATTTTTTTTGTAATTGTCTCTCATCGGTCCAATTAATTTTCGTCGCTTTTTTTTTTTTTGCTTTTTTAAATGTTCTCAAAACGACTAAAAATCTGGCCAGCTTTTCGCAACTAAATATTATTTACGTGGTCAGCAATCGAGAGCGATCGCTCCCGCTTCCCGACCAAGCCTGTAAGTTATGGTTGAGTTATTTTTTTAAAAAAAGTTTAAAGTAAAGTTTCTGGAAATTTTTTTCAAAATTTTTGTTTATCATACTAGATAAAGTTCTGCCAATAGTCAATCAAATAATCAATCAAAAATCAATGTCAATTGTTATCAATAGAAATAATTTTCCAAAAATCAAAAACAACTCTTTGTATATGTTTTTCATATATGTGAGATCTTTAAATGGAGACCTATCCCTAGAAAGCAAATGTTATTGTGTTATAGATTATAAATTATTTTATTATGATAGTTCATTAAGCAAGTAAAATTTGCAACCTTGGTTTCATGAATTTTTAAAATTTTCTATTACATTGTAAAAAATCTGATCTATAGAAAAGACTAAATATTATCTTGTCAATATTCAAACAATTTTCTCCTTTCTTTTTTTGATACCTGAATTCCATCATATATGACTGTAATATCACTTTTACATAAAATTGTTTTTCCCTTTTATTCATAAATAAACCTTCATTTTGCTGACACATTAAAGTCTGAATTAAATAATCTGAATTAATTGTAGAGTTTGTGGTGATTTTTTTTTATTCAAATACTAAGTGCTTTTAACTCTATGGGGAATTCAGTGATCTCTCAATATTAATAAGTCAGCTCTGTTTTAATCAGAAATATGGTTATCATATATCTGCATGTGTTTCCGAAGCAAATAGAGTTTTTGGTTTTGTCTGACACACATTTCCATTTTAAACCTATTTGAACCTATTTGGAACAATTCGCTGCTTGATGTCAAACTTATCAAACGAGTGTTGAACAATTTAAAATAACTGATATTAACAGTTATAATAATCTATAACTGACTATAAAAAAAACAAACTATAATCATATAATATAACATAAAATATGATTATAGTTTATAACATATAATAACAATGTTGCAAACATAGCAATATAACTATAAGTTTTTCTATTTATCTTGCTCATTTATCTCGCGCATTCTAGTTTTTAGTTTTTATTATAAATTTCTTCACAAAATATGAACAAAATAATAAAAAATAATTACTTAATAAGATATAATTAATATTTATATAAAGTTAATATGTTTTATTTAATTTATTGTAAGTTCTTTCTTTATTCACAATCTAATTTAAAAATCTAGATAAACACAGGTAACCTAATAAAGATCCTTTCAAAGCATTATCAAAACATCAATGCCATTCATTTTTCACGTGATGGTAGCTTTTTTCTATCGTGTGGAGATGATAACCTTTTGCTTATTTGGAATTTTTCAAAGTGAGTTTTTTTTATTTAATTTTATACTTTTTGCTTCTATCAAATTATATTTAAGAAAATTATTATATACTATTATTGTATTCAAGATTATATTTAAAAGAATTTTTTTATTTGAGAACATGAAAGTTGCGATTAAGAAATTCTAATATGTAATTAAGAAACACAATATATAATCAAGAAGCATAATTGTGTTAAAAGTTAAATAACTTTGACCTAAAAGTCTTTTCTTAAATTGAATGTGAATGAAACATTTATTTTGAATTAAATGTTAATGAAACAATTGAATGGTAATGAAACATTTATTTCACCAAATTTGTTTACATCCACTTCTGGATTAACCAACTTTTTCAATTGTATGAAATACTTGCAACCGAACAATTTAAAAGAAATTATTTTATCTTCATCAAATGACAGATAAAGAGTTGATGAATGTGCTGAGTGAAATGATGGGTGACTATAGCAAAACTTACAATTCATATTGCAGCAGAAGTTTAAATTTTATCAGAAAAGGTGGTTTTAAGCTAAAAAATTTGACTAAAGATCAAAATGAAGAAGCATTAACATGGATTAAAAGTGACTCTCAATTGACATTGGTGCCATCAAATCAAAGGTATTAAGACAATTTAATGAGTTAGAGTTTGTTGATTCAGAAATCAGTATAATTAATTTAACAAATGGTAAATAATTATCAATGAGATTGCTTTTTAGGTTATTAATTAATGTTGAATTAATGGTATACTCTGATAGTGCATTTTATCGTCTAACTATGCGATTTGTTTAAAAAAACAAACATCTTTCATTGCAGTTTTTAACTAATTGCATTTTAAGACATTGACTGACCTTGCAACTTGTAAGATGGCTGTTGAGTTAATCTACACATTGTGAAGTGCAAAATTCATCTTTGTTGATGTTTTTCAAAATTTTGAATTGCTCAATGTGGTCTCTACGTATGCAGCGTTGTTCAAGGGTGGTAAATCTAACAGTTTGTAATCTTGTTTTGTAAGCTAAATTTTTAGTTGAAGATATATTTTTCATTGCATTTTATTAAACTTGTTTAAGTATAGCAATTTCTCTTTGAAGATGTGGTGACCAGGCCTGCACTGCATATTTAAGATTTGGTCTGATGAAGACTATATTTAAAAATTATTTTTAGACTGCTGCTACGTAATTCTTTTTTTACAATACCAATAATGCTGTTAGCTGATTAAGCTGTGGTTCACATTTGATCACTAACTTTAAACTTGTGTGAGACAATGACTCTCTTATTCGGATTTTATTACAATGAGATATAGCATTGATTGCCATCATAATCAGAGATTGTATAAATTTGTGTAGATCTAATTTGATAATCTTTGCCACCATGCATAACCTTACATTTTTCAATGTTAAAGGGCATGAGCCAATGTTGTGACTATACTTTATAAATGTTATTTTATAAGTTTACATCATCTGGTGATTTAATAACTGCAATGAAATTGCTGTCATCAGCATAAAGTTTTATTAGATGATTAAATTGGGCCAAGTACTGATTGTTGAGGAGCCCCAGGCATTATATCCATCCATTACATCTTATACAAAACGTTCAGTAACAACATGCCAATTGCTAACTATGACTATCGGTTTTAAAAGTTGATTATATGTCAAAGGCTTTGGTAAGACTTTGTATTAACCTTAATATGAGCGTCAGCAGAATAATTATTTATTTAATTATATTACCAATTACTTCAAGAACAGATTGTTTTCATTAAAAAAAAGTGCACAAGGAGCCTACTACAATGAAAAGTAATGAAAACAAAGATCTGAATATGTTAACTGGTTGTCAGATAGTCTGGTTGGATGAAATTGTAGTAATTTTTAATGACATTATTTAAATTTAATTTAAACCTCATATTTTTTTGTAAATAAATTGTTTATTTATTATTTACCCAATTCTCAAAAATACTAACAAAAAAAATGACAGGTCCAATCAACACCCAATGGATTTTTTCCAGTTGCATCCAAATTGTCAGTCTTTTTTGTGATATTTCCTTTTACCACTACATTGCTAAATATCTTTTTCTGACTTTTTTTACTTTATTGGTAATATATTATTATTTCGATCATAAAGTAAATTACAAAGTAAATTAAGGCTATGAAATTAAAAATTAACTTTGTTTTGAGTATCTTTCTTAATTACAGCTATCATATTCTCAGTTACATCTTGAGAAAGTGTAGAAGATGTGATTAGTTAATTAAATGATATGATTAGATTATTAAAAAATGTGATAAAGGTAAATAGATAAGATGTGATTTAAAAAATGATGAAAAATGATTGTAAAAATGTATTAGTATTTGTCAGCCAAAAGATGATTTTAATGATGATTCAGAGAAGCCCACATTTATTTTATCCCATCACTCATTACCTATCAAAGATTTTTATGTTGGGATTGGTGGAATGCGGTGTCATGTTGCAACATGCTCTTTAGATCAAACATGCAAGGTTTTAAATTTTTAGTTCATTTTAGTTTACTTATAGCTTTGATATATTCTCTAATAAACTTTTTTAGATTTTTCAAATTCTATTATTGGTAAGTAATTTTACTTCTTCCATATTTATCTGCAGATATATGATATGAGCTCAGGAACACTGGTGTGTTCTTTTCTCTTTGAAAATAGTTGTTCGTCAGTTACTATGGATATAGATGAAAAAAGACTTTTTGCTGGTACAACAAATGGGAAGATACATTTTGTAAACTTGTATTCAAAAGTAAGTAAACATTTCTTAAATAAAAACTTTAATACAAATTCTATTCTTTGCATCAATCATTAATTTTTTAAAGGAAAAAGTAAGAGAAACTCATGTTGCTACTAATGAATCTACACTTCAAGCTCATACGTAAGTAAATTTTTAAAACTCTTTAAAGTAATATAATGGCTCAGTATTTTGTATTTTTAAACTCAAGAATATTAGAATATCCTTTTATATGAGTCTTACACATTATATTCTAATACTCTCATCTTAAATCTTGGTAACAAACCAGTTAGATGAGTCATTTTTTAGCCATTTCATTTAGCCATTTCATTTAGCCATTGTTACCAATAGAGTTGGATGTGGTTTACCTTATTGGGTTCTTCCTTCATCTCAAACCATGCATATAACCCAGAACAGCTAGTAAACTGAGCTATTTTTGTCAATAGCAGTCTTTCTAAAAGGAATAGAAAGTAGCCAAGCAAGACATAAATCATGCTGTTTCATCTTGCTGAGTAAGAACAATTTGGTTGCTCTAGTTTTTGTAAAATGTTTAGCAAATTTATCTAAGCTTTGTCTAAAAGCAAATCATAATTTAGATAAACAAATTATATAGAGCATAATATGTATTATTGATACTGTAACAAGAATAAATACTATGTTTTATATATCTATAATAAATTTAAGTTTGTACAGTAAAAAGAGGAAAAAGAATTTTGTGCATGACATTCCTTTTTTAATTTTGATTTTTTTTTTCAAAAAATAAATGATATTATTAATCAATTAATAACTTTAATTTAATTCTGGATATTATCTTTAAGTTTAATATATCTTTAAATTTTCGTATAAAATTTAAAATCAATCAAACAATCTATCCTAGTTATCACTCAGTGATAACTATGTTTTACTTTCTTTTTTTCATATTAGTACTGTGCCTGAGCTCTCTATCAAAATTTAAAAGGCTTATTTGAATTTAACAAGTGTTGTGAATGGCTCTAACTCTTTTTTGGGTTGAGGCTTAACCCACAGGAGCTATAACAATCGTCTTAAGTTATTTATGATGAAATTTCTACCCCAAATCAACCTGTTTTTTTATGCAAATATAAAAGCACATTTAGATCTGGTGCCATACTGATTTAGGGAGCTGAGGATTTAAAAACAAAAAAAAATCTCCTGTGTTTTGTTGTGCAATTCGATCCCCACTATGCCCTGGTATTACCACATTCAACTTATTTCTCTGCGCAACAGCCTTTTTCAAGGTTTGTTTTTCAGAGTTATAGAGTTGAGAGAGGGTTATACTAAAATAAAAATGACTGTGTGTCATGAAAATTATTTCTACATGATGTTTGACCTGCCTGAACAGTCATGGATATTTTTTAAATTTACTATCCTTTTTATTCAGTATTAGGTGGTAATTATATTAAAATCTCATTAGCTGTAAATTTTGACAGGGTGCTAATTCCATTCCTAGATCTTTAACAAATCATAAAAAAAGTTAGTGTTAAAAATAGCTCACAAAAAAATTACCTATACAATAACTAGTAAACAATAACTATTCTAAAAATTTTTAATTAATAGAAGAGGTGGAGATGATCCTGGTACTAATAAAATGAATGCTTCTTAGAGCATTATAGAATACGAAGAAAAAGAAATGTAGCTGTTGTTCTGGAGATTAATTTATCCTCACAAGCCCAAAAAATGACAAGATTTATTTATATCTAATATGTCAGCATTATAGAAACTAATAGCAACAGCTTTGTAAAAACTTTGATTAAGTCTAGAATTGAAAATGAATGCTCCCTCTTATTTAACAACAAAAACTTTCCAACCTCACATACTATGCATACACATGGATTTTATTCTATTTTAATTAGTCCTCCCCAACCTATGATCTAAAAGAGTAAAGGTACACTTAATTCTACTTGTAGGAAACAGGTTCCTGTTTCTATTCACACTAAAAGTGGTTAAGCTTGTTAATAAGTTGCAGATACTTTGTCACTAAACGAACAACTGGAATGGGATCATGTTGAAGTTGATGACAAAGAGAATGAAGATATAATATTTAAGATATCTCATCTTAAGGTTGAATATCAGAGTAGAAGTAAAAAGCACCTTTTCACCCTTTCACCCTTGATTTTTTTAAATCTCTACCTAAAAAATGTTTGAATCTATGCATAAAAAAGTGAAACTATGCATAAGATTTTTTAAGGAAAATCAAGACAAGGTAACAAATTTTTATGTACAGAATTAGAATCCTGTATCAGTAGTTAATAATTAGGTTTATTATTAATGGTTTTAGGTTATTAATGGGTATTGTTGCCAATTTTATTGTTTATAGTGATATTAATGGTTCACAAGTCAAATTTAACCATGTATTAGTACACAGTTGATCTTTATTGGACTTGAATATTTTCCAAACTATGAATCAAAACCGAAATTTTTTATCAAGCTCCTACATTTTAATAACAACAATGAACATAATTATCTTAAGAATTTAAGTGTTGCCAAGTCCCATATTTTATTCAAAGGTAGATTCCATTTTGGCCAGTTCATAAAAACCAAAAGAGCATGTTTTAGAATTGAGTTGTATGAATTAATAACATCGGATGGCATTATTGCCATCAGCAATAAACGTCTATAACTTACACATGATTGGTATTGACAGGGTTGATTAGCAACTCCACGATATTTAAGCTCTCTTTACAAAACGGGTTACAGTCTCAATTAGTTTTGAAGTGATCCTTCAATTCCGGTTAGATTTACATGCATTGTAATATCTTGAAGTACCTGTTTACTAAGTCTTCAAATAAGTCTTTGTATATATACAATTAAGTTTTTTGTATGTTTGATTGCAAATATGTGCATACCTTCTGCAAATAAAAAATTTGGCAGTTAATTTTCTATTTGTAACTTACAGTTAAAGTCAATATTTGTCCTAGATTTTTTGAAATGGTAGAGCTTTAGTCCTATGATCTAGATATTAAATAAATTTTTTATTTTTTTTTCAAAATGTTTTTTGTAACAAAAAAAAAGCTCTCATTTTGCCAATTATAACATGTAATTCTTGTTTTAAAATCATTGAATTTTGACCAATTTTGGTCAATGCTTGATATTTTTCTGTTCAGACTTTAAGCCAATTTTCATTCAGTCTGGAAAGTATTTAGCTTGTTGATTGTATGTACCTTTTTTATATATTTATATATTACTCATAAATATAATTTTTGTTTTGTTATTAATATTATTTTATGTTAAAAATGATTTAAAAATATTTTTTTTTTCAGAAAGGAAGTTAGTTCATTGTCAGTTAGCATGGACGGTACTAAGCTGTTGTCTGGCTCATTTGATTGTAATGTAAAGCTTTGGCATATATCGAGTAAGCAATGTCTGAGGACATTTCAATTTAAAGGTAAATTATTATAACATTTATGTAAATGTATGTGTGAGTACATAGAGGGTGTTGTGTATACTCACATAAATTGGCAAAACTGGTAAAATAAAAAGATATGACAAAAGTGTTATATTTTGAACTAAGTTAGTATGTAACTATCTAAATACATAAATGTAGTCATTATTTTTAAATTGTTCAAAAAAGTGTCCATTTACTGTAACTTGATTTTAAAATGACTTTAAAATGTAAGGCACTTCTTTATCATATTTTCCTAAGCCATTGATAGATGATTTCAATCTTAACTTTGCCAGTATCTTCATTGGAATGAGCCTGTTGGAATAGAGGCTTCATTGGAATGAGGCTTCATTGGAATAGAGGCTTCATTGGAATGTAGAAGTTTCTCCTCCTCAGATTATTTTTTCTTCAAATTTTTTACTTGCTAGTACAATAAGATAAGAATTCAGAAATCATTTTTCATAGATTTATGGCTCTATTCCATTCAGATTGTCATGATTCTCCTTGAACCTTTTTAAATCATTTGTTATAGGCCAATTTAATTTTAATCAGGCAATCATTGCCTGAATATAAAAAAAATTATTAAGTACCTAACTTTGTTTAGAAAGAGTTACATTTTAGCTGCTTTTAGTGATTATCAAATATTCTTTTTTCATTTTTATACATTATATATATGTATTTCATACTTGTTAAGTTGGTACCTACGTGACATGAAGCAAATGTGTTCAGATTTGAGAAAACAGGTATTATAGATAAAATTTAGCACCCATAACTGTTAATTACTCAAATACTGCTTAACAGATATTTATAATTTTTTGACACAATGAAGCTAATTGAATTATTTATTTATCTCAATAAGTTTATTGAGATAAATAAATAAGTTTATTAAGATAAAATATTGAGATAAATGCTCAGATAGAATCCAAATATTTTTGTAAGTATTTGACACTCAACTTGTCACTCTGTGTAGCCTCCTCTTGCTTTCTTAAATTTGATTCCTTAGACCCCATTTTATTCATACCATTCTTGAGACTTCTTGCAGTATTAGATTGCAGTCAAATCTAGCTAAAGTATTGTAAACATATCATGTTTTTTAATAAATTGCAAAAGGCGTTTCTTTAAGCATTTTTTTTTATACAAATCGGCATTCAAATTTTTATGAGTAATGTATAGTGTGCTTTTTAAGCCACAGGAACATATTGCTTGCCATATTAAGATCTTGGGAGCAAGTTTCTTAGTTCGAAAATATTTGAATTTTTTGGTGACGAATCTACCTTTTGACTGATAAAAATTTGTTGGCCAAGTTGTGAAACAATTTGTGAAAATTTGTGAAAAAAATTTGTAAACAATTTTTCACAAATGACAAAAACTTATTTTTGCAATAGGTGTTATCATTTTATCAATTATGCAACAATTTTTCTTAGGTTTAAAAGTTTACATTGTTTGTTATAGATTTTATTAAGTTTTTTATCAATTAACTTTTAAAAGTTTATATTGTGCATTAATTTGTCCATCAATGAATCTCTTTAGAGTTTTCTTTTAATGCTTAATATTTTTAAGATCAAAGTTCTTATCAAAGCTTGCATTAAAAGCTTAATTGCATTAAAATTTTTATTGCAAGATATTTTTACGACAGACATGGATTTGCTTTTATGGAACAAATGATAGATTTTGCTATATATCTATCTTAAAATTCTTTTTTTTTCACCACTTCCAGCTTCTCTTTCAATAGATAGAGTTTATTGAAAAAGAAGCTTCCCTTATTGATTATTGCAATTATTGCATATATATATATATATATATATATATATATATATATATATATATATATATATATATATATATATATATATATATATATATATATATATATATATATATATATATATTTTAATGATATCTTAATAGTATGATGAAATTTATATATAAAATTGAAAATACATCATATAAGGTGACATACTATTTATTTAACTATTAAAATTTTTCATGTTTTTTTGATGTTCAACTATTCGTGTTTTTATCTTTTTTCTAAAAAAAAGATAAAAACATGAATAGCTGAACATCAAAAAAACGTGACTAAAGTGAACTGGAAAACGTCTGGAATTGTCAAACATGCACAATATTGCAAAGGTATAATTAATTACAATAATCCAAAAACACTTTCAGTCATTCCAAATAATTATACGAGAAAAATCAGGGAGGCAATTGAAATAGACAGATTGCAATGTTGGTATCTAAAAAATAAAGTTCTAAACCGAGATAATGGCAACCTAGTGACGACTCACCATTGGAAACCATTTTTTGTTAAATTTAAGAAAAACTTTAATAATATTACGCAGCAATGGCATCATTTTTGTTAATAACGAATTTTTTTGTAATGTATTAGTTTGAAAATGGCTTCAACTATATGAGCCGAAATATCACATTTAAAATTTAAAAAGTTTAATAGTTAAATAAATAGTATGTCACCGTACATGATGTA